ATTTTAGACCTGGATTTTGGACTAAATACAGCAGACGGTGCACTACAACCACTGCCAGAAGGAACCTTTCTGCAAAGCCTGTAAAGAGAGTTGCCAGTTTTGTTATGTAACAGCTGGGATGAACGATAACTCAGCCCTGGGTGTTTATGTATAGACACTACACAGTTCAGGTAAGACTGCCAGTGATAACTACAAAGGTCAATATACACACCAGTGCAATAAAAACACATAATCTGATTCTCAGAATAAAGTCTGGCCATTTTCTGAGCTGGCAGATGGGCAAGCATTATTGGCACAGCACAGGGCATCAGCTAAAGCATTTTTTGAGTTATTCAGGTGATCAAAAACTGCATGAAATGGTGGGAAAAAACCTCCATGGGAAAACTACACAAAGACCTGAATGATGTTGTGAAATGCACATTGTGAGGTAGCTCCCTCATCACCCTTAGGAGTACACAGCCTGAACACCTTCCATCTGGCTGGTTTCTTCACTGAATGTGTTATAATGAAGAAAAATTGCAGATGCTGCTAAGAATTTAAACAATATATATATATAAAAGTGATGACATGAATAGAGACTACCATCCCAATTTTCACAGCTCAGTGTTAGGACAGGCAGCAGGTTGTTTTCTGAAACAGCCTGCAGACATTCAGAAAATCCTCTACCCCATGCCTGTTGTGCTGAGCAAAACAGGCCCCAAACAAATTATAATGGACAAAATAGAGACTTGTGTTTGTTTTGTTGGGTAAATAATATCACCTCCAGTTGCCTGAAGACTCTCCCACAAGCTCACAGATGCAACTGACATAAAAAATGTCAAGCAATGCTGTTAGTTTAATTATTATTTCCACTAGACACCTGATTTTTATCCCACATTGTGGACAGAATGAATGGATTAGCAATTCTTAATTGAGATGAGCAATAAAGATTCTGTCATAATCTGGAGGCCATAAGAGATACTCAGCAAGCAGCGGGGTCAGGACTGGGAATGTGATTAAACACCAGGAAAGCTCTCCTTGGAGAGGTCAGAGTATCAGCTGAGCTTTACTCAGCCTCGTCATGGAGTCAATTGCCCCCAAGATAAGGCAGAGGATAAATTCCCTGCGCAAAGCCTCGGGCGTGCAGAGCAGCCCTCCTGCAGGCACAGCCATGGCATTCGACGGCACTTGGAAAGTTGACAGAAATGAGAACTACGAGAAGTTCATGGAGGCCATGGGTAAGGCTCAGCTTCCCAATCCCTTCTGCAGGAAAAACATCACCCAGCTGAATACAAACCCGGACTGCCTGACAACTACCCTCGGGCCATCCTGTCCTTTCACTCGTGCCTGCTCTGCCCCTGCATTTATTTGCAAAATATCCTGAGCTGGGGGGGAAGATGCTGGGAAATGTTCTGGTTTTAATTACACTGCATTAATCTTGAGCAATTCCAAATTTATTTCAGCAGAAAAAAAAAATCTCTAAGTCTAGATTTGAGGAAAAGTCTCAGACAACTTGAATGGATAAACTTTAAATCTAATTCTATAGCTGGACTATTATTTTGACAACATCAAACCAATTTAAACATTCAACAGGGAGGAAATCATAATTCTTCAATTTCAGAGAAACACTTGATTCAAGTAATTCTAACATCCTAATATATACTTGAAGTTTGTACAGAGTGTGCATTATATGGACATAAATCTAACTACTCCAGTTAAGACAGTGATTTTTTTGTATTATATGTGTACTAGTGAACATGGCCTCGATGAAAACTGAAGGACAAATATTTGGGTCAGAACGCTGCAATAAACTCACTTGGCCACATAAAATTGATTAAAAAAAGACAAATATGATGCTCCAGAGGTTTGGGGGGTTTTTTTCTGATTCATGTTAACTAATTTTTTTAGGTATTGGCATGATGAAAAGAAAGCTGGGAGCCCATGACAATCTGAAGATCACCATCCAGCAAAATGGGGACAAATTTAATGTCAAAGAAGCCAGCAACTTCCGAACCATAGATATTGAATTTACTCTGGGAGTCAGCTTTGAGTACAGCCTGGCTGATGGGACTGAACTTACTGTAAGAGTCTTCCTATATAGTTCAATACTTACTATGTGAGAATGACTTTATAACGTGCAGTTTCAAAAGGAACAATTTGTCTTCCTAGTTTTTAATTTAAATTCTCCTTCTGAATTACATGAAATTTTCCTGCACCTGACTGTTCAGGAATGCTTGCAGCTTATACACCAAAGCATAAGGGAGTCTTTACTGTTAAAGGTTCAAGACTGCACCATGGATCTCAGGGTTCCAGAGAGCCCAAAAAGCAGAGCAAGTAGCAATTTTTACAAGATGAAATCCAGGTGATGTGCAATTTTACTCCTTCTAATACTCAAGTTCACCTCATAGAGTGCAGAGTGGGTATTTGTAAGAAATTACAAATCTTGGTTGATATAATTATTTAAAATAAGGTGAAGTGACCAGTAAAAAAACACCTAGGTTGGCTATTATGCTTTTAAATAAGCCAATTGTTTTATTAAAATTTCATTTTTGCAGCCTTTCTAGAAAGCATCATTACACTGTTTTAATCTTTTTTCACTTTTAAGCATTCTTCAGCCTTTAAACCAAATCAGTGTCATAACTGTTGCAAAACATTTGGGTTTTTTTCCCATCATAGGGTGCTTGGACCCTGGAAGGAAATAAACTTGTGGCCACATTTACCAGAAAAGACAACGGAAAAGTGCTTAAAGCAACCAGAGAAATCGTGGGTGATGAACTCGTCCAGGTGAGTTAAGAAGTCATTCAGACACAAGTTTGCAATAGAATCAGCAGAAAAAGTTTTTAAAGCTTTTCTAAAAGTAGAACATATTTTCTTCAAGCCAAATAACTTCATTTATCTATAGTTAAAATTCTCAGTTGCCTATAAAGAATTTAAAACTCTCTGAACCATATCTGGGAAATGAAACTTTGCAATTCCAGCTACTGATTTCTCCTTCCTAATTTTTTTAACAGACCTACCTATACGAAGGAGTTGAGTCCAAGAGATTCTTCAAAAGGGGCTAAGCACTTCACACAGAACTGCACCACAATGAAGGAACAATAAAAGACCATTTTCTACACATGCTCTGCGTGGTTTCCTTTCCCATTCCATCCCCTCACAACACCTCCCTAGCAGCAGTTACCTGTGCTGAAAACGTGGGCTAGTTCTTTATGTTCCTGTTTTGCCTTGAATGAACAAACTCCCAGTACCGAACGCTTTTTAAAATGTCTTTTGTACCAAGTCCTGCTGAAGCCTCACAAAGGCTGCAGAAACTATTTTGCATAAGCAGAACTTCAGTATTTTTTGCACAAGCTCTCAAACGGAAACTTAGTTTCCTTGCAAAGGCATTTATACTGAGAAACAGTTTCTCTGTGTATTTAATATTGTGCAAAATTATGGGAAAACCAAAAAAAAAAAAAAAGAGATAGTACAGATGGGGACGAGGCTTAAAAGGGAAGTACTGTCATTGTTTTGCCCCAAATCTCTAACATACTTCATCTACTACACATGCTTAACCAATACTTGCTATATAAAGACAAATCCATCCTTATTTCTATTGACAGAACTTATAAAGGAAAACTGCTACCCTTAAGTGCTTAAGAAAAGTAAGCTCTGTGCAGAAGCACCTGCTTGCAATCTGCCTTATCTCTTAATAAAATCTCTTAATATCTCCTAATATTGAGGCTAAAAGGGGGTAATAGCTACCAAGAGAAAGGTTTTGTTTCACACACTCTTGGGTTTCTGGTCATTCTTCTGGACACAAAAATGATAGCCCTGACTTCAATACGGAGTGCACGGGAAGGGCTGAGGGTGGCACATCCCAGGTGTGGGTGTGGCATCAGGTTGTGCCACTTTGTTTATTTTTATTTACTCCTGCAGCTGGGTGTTGTGCACATAAAGCACAACAGAATACACTATCTACATGAACTTTTCCACGTTCGTTCCGTGCACAAGCTCCGACTAACCTTAAGGAGAGGAGTGTTATCTTAAAACAATTTTAATTTTCCTAAACTTCTTCACAACAGGATTGCCAAAAGGTCTTCTAGTTTTTCTCAGAGCATCATCTGCCCTCCATGAAACCGCATCGGGACGAGTTGGTCAATTTTTATTTCCACACAAGCCCCGGCACAGGTGGCAGGACAAGACCAACTCGGCGTGACAGGACTGAACGCCTGCTCTTCCCCAGTGTCCGCATCTCACCTGGCAGGGAGCGGCAGCCAGCAGCGCCCAGGAAGGAATGTCAGCCACCAGCATTGGGGAATCCACAACAAGCATCGCTAATCCCAAAAACAGAGGGACAGGCAGAAATACTCTCCGCGCCCAGCATCTTTACCTCAAGAGCCCACCCTACAAGGCAGTGCCTGAGGCGGCAGGGGCGGGGCTCTGCCTGAGGCGCGGATTGCGGGGCTTTGGCCGAGGCGGGAACGGGGAGGCAGTGCGTGAGGGGGGAATGGCGGGGCTTTCCCGAGGCGGGAATGGCGGACCTGTGCCTGAGGCAGGAATGGTGGGGGTTTTGGCTGGGAGGAGCGAGCCGGTACCTAAGGCGGGAATGGCGTAGTTGTGCCTGAAGCGGAGATTGCGGGGCTTTCCTGAGGCGGGAATGGCTGGTCGGTGCATGAGGCAGGAGGGGCGGGGCTTTGCCTGAGGGGGGAGGGACGAGACGGTGCCTGAGGCGGGGATTGCGGGCTTTCCTGAGGCGGGAATGGCGTAGCTGTGCCTGAGGCACGGATTGCGGGCTTTCCTGAGGCGGGAATGGTGGAACCTTGCCTGAGACGGGAGGGCCGAGGCGGTGCCTGAAGCGGGAATGGCGTAGCTGTGCCTGAGGCGGAGGGGCGGGGCTTTCCTGAAGCGGGAGAGGCTGGGCGGTGCCTGAGGCGGGAGGGGCGGGGCTTTGCCTGAGGCGGGAGGGGCGGGGCCGCCGCGCGTGACCCCGAGGGCGTGGCCGTGGTACGTGCGCTCCGTTCCCATTGGCGCCACACCCGGAAGAGCCGCTGGCGCCTGCGCGGTGGGGCCGCGGCCCTGCATCCCCCTTCAGCCGAGGAGATGGAGGCGGCGGCGCGGCGGCGGCCGCGGGAGCCGGAACGGCAGGAGCGGGAGCCCGGCGATGGTGGGCGGGTGATGTCACCGTCCCTATCGGGACAGTCCTACTGGCTGGACCTTTGGCTCTTCATCCTCTTCGACCTGGCGCTTTTCCTGCTCATCTACCTGCTGCCCTGAGGGCGCGGCCCAGGTGAGGAGCGGCGTTCGGGGGCGGTCGGTCGGTCGGTCGGTCGGTCTGTCGGTCGGTAAGCAACGACGGGCTGTGCCCTCTGGAGGAAAGGGTTCGCTTCAGGAGCGGACCCCTGGGAGCAGTCTCGGCATTCCCACAGCCCCGCCTCCAAAGGAGCACAAATGCGTCTCAGGAAACTGGAAACTGATTCCAAACCACCCCCAGCTTTGTTTATTTGTTTGCGAGATTTATTATCCGCTCTTTGTTCAGGAGGTGTAATTGATGCTCCTGATGTCAGTGTGTTCTGAAAGGCTGTGCAGAGCTGAGAACATAACCAGACCTTTCTTGTTCCCTGTAGGGCCATTGCCACCGAAGGAATTCTCACCTATTTCGTACCTTATGAACACCGGCGGTGGAAGAGGAGGACCATTTGTGCGGGATAAGCAACCGGGAACACGGCTCCACTTGAGCGTGGGTGAAGGAGGCACATTTCTGTACTGTACCGTGATGGATCTGGGTGTGTCACAAGTGTTACTGTTGGGTTTTGCTCGTGTGTCCTGAGCTGTGCCTTAGAGATCCCGTACGACAGACTGACTGTCCTTTGTGATTAGTGCCTAAAGGTTTGTTGGGCAAACATGGAAGCGTGCACTGTGTGAATAAAATCCACTGAAAGGACACCCTGCAGAGTGGCTGAGAATAAAACCCAGCTCTTCTGTACACTGAAGTTGTAGCTCCGACCCGTTCCCTCAACAGATGAAGCTTGGCCAGCTGTTCTGCTTCCAAAAATTAATCCTGATGGGTTGATGCTGGTTGGTTTTCTATAATACATCTCTCTGTTTTTTCTTTCTTTACTGAGCCCTCTCAGGCTCAGTGTTTATAGGTATAAATATTTACATATATAAACATGTCAGTGTTTAACCCAGCAGCAGTGTCTTGTCCTCACTTTCTGATTGAGATAAATCAGGTTCTGCTTTCCTTCCTAGAAACTGGGAAGGAGGAGCTTGCAAAAGCAGCCTTGAGTCACTGGCAGATGACACATAAAGATCCCTCCTCCTCCCCGCCCCTGGATGGTAGAGGTAGACAGTGACAGGTAATTAAAAGGTTTCAACATCAATTTCCTCTGTCTCACTAGAGGGAGACTGTGAAACTTGTGTTAAAGGGAGGAGTCTTTTGTAGTCTTCGGAGAAAGAAACAGAAGCTGAGCCCATGGAGTGAACTTTTTGCCAGGGCACAGTTGGGGGATGACAGTTTTCATGCAATGGATGAAGGGGATTTGGTTTTCTTTAGCATTTTTCCCTTGGGAATACTAATTTCCAATTCTGAGCAGTACAATCCATGCTTGGTGGTTATTTTTTTTCCAGGAGTACATAAAACAAAATAACTGGATTGCAGAGACTTGGAATGCTGAGTGGTTCAGTGTCTTCTCACACAGTAAATGAAAATGGGCCAGAATGAGGTTAAATAGGATTTGAGATGCAAAAATAGACAGATGCTCTTTCTTTTATTCAGTTGTGAAGACAGTTTTGCTGCTGGCAGTGGTTTGTTCCATGTGTCAGCCCTGTGCTGTGGGAACAGGGATGCTGTGCCCTGCTGGCATTTCTCATCATGGCTACTGGTACCTGGGAGATCAGGGTGGTTCCAGAGATCTTGACTCAGGGTGCACAGGAGCCCTGAACTGGGACTGCATTCTCACAAACACCAGGATGGGAGTTCCAGTTTTTCCCATCAGGCCATTAAAAAGACAAGCTCACTACATTCACTACCTTTTTTTACCCCCCTTCTGGCATGATATCATAGGTGAAATCCCCAGGGATCAACCTATTGGGCAAAGACTGTAATGTTACTGCATTTCTTTTTTGATAAGGGAGACAGGTGAGATTTAAAGGCATTAAAGCTTAAGAAGTTAAATTTCAAGCTATTTTCCACTAATTTAGTTTTCTCCTTCAGCCAGATCCGACATTTCAGGTTTTGCTTATCTCAGAAAACATAAGAGCTAACAAAGTGCAGGCTGGTGCTGCACTGGGCTCCAGCTGTTCCATAGGCACATGGAGCTCCTAAGTACAGAGATCCAGGGGTAAGTTTTGCTTATCCCTAGTAAAGATAGTAAGGTAGCCTGTGTATCTGTAAATCACTTGTCACCAAATCTGTGGGATTATGGTATAAAATGGCTTTATGCATTTCATAGCTGTTTAAAAAGTTTAATCTATTTAACAGCTTTATGTACAAATACTTCAGAAGATGAATTTTCCTGTTCAGAAAAGGTGACCAGACCACCATCTCCACAAAAACTTTCAACCATCAGTTAGCAGCATTATCTGTCAGGTTAAAAATCTAGTTCTGGAAAGCCAACTGTTTTTGTTTTTTTAAACAAGAAACACAAAAAGAACAGACAACAAAGATTTTAAATTTTTATCTTGATATTTTGAACAAGTAGAACTTTACAAGTAAATATTCATATTCCTAAAGACTGAAAAATATATTAATTACAAGACTCATTAATATCTTTACTGTTACAAAAATTGTCTAGGCTCTTATACAAATCTATAGCTGGGAGGGGACATTTATAAAAAAATAAATAGGCACCCTAGGTAAGTTAAAACGAGTTATCACATATTAGTTAGCAAATATTACATACATACATGGAGTGCAGAGGCAAATATAAAAATGAAGGTGCCTTGATTAGCTGTCTGTTTAATCATGAAATACCTGGTAAACATGGGTCACAGAGGAAGCTGTCTGGTAAGATTGCTCCAAGCTAAGCAAGGAAACTGAAGTACACCTAAGTTACTGCAGCTACTTTAGAGAGGAGTTTACCAGTTGTGCTTACTGGGAGCAGAGTTCATTGGTATCAGTAAGAGGCATTCATATTGCTCGTGGTACAGAAGTATCAACATTGCTATGCATGTTTAAAAATAAGTCTTCTAACATCATTCACAGTTGCTGCTGTACTATCCGTACATAAAAATACTGTCATTTCAAATACAAGATTTTTTTTGTTTTTTGCAAAACATAATTTTACAAATTATACATTATTTACAAATTCCAATAATCTCGGTTTTTACACAGGTATTAGAGGACAGTTGTACTTAACTGGCTATGTATATTATGTAACATGGCTAGGTGAACTAGAAAAGTTTAATTTACAGGTTCTGAAATCTTCCTTAAAAATATTACAATAGGAATCACCCAAGTTCTTACATTTTTAGTGTTCTTCTGTATTCAATTTGTTTTCCTACAAAAGGATCATTGTTTAAGTTGCTGTTTACTAGCAGCCATACAGAAACATGCATAGTATTTTCACTATAAATTCTAGAATTCATTTTTTCCCCAAGTGCTACAACAAATTTTGATCAAGAAGGTAGAAAGGTTAATCTGAGATACCTGGTTTGTTGCATATATATAATGTTCCAGTTCTATTATAAGGTACATGTTACTTAAAAGAAAAAAAAAAAACTGACCTTGCCACAGAATAACCAAAAGTACTGTTTAAATGTTTACCTTGGATAATTGTGCTAAACAATTGCCATGATTTGGTTGAAGCACTAAAACACATGTACATAAGGTTATGAACATGACAAAAAGCTTTTCTGATTTCTTATTATTTTCATAATAAAAGGCATTGATGTTTAGGTGTAATCAGCAGCACCCCAAGTTAACACTCCAATGTGAATAATGGAAAAATTTTACCTTTTTAGCTTGTGCTAGGCTTTGCTATGCTGCCTCAGCACTCAGTAGATGGTTCTGTGCACTGATTTAACTAACCAGATAAAAGCCAAATAAATCTTCCTCCTTGTTACTGAGATAAGTCAGGTTAACAAAAGACAAGGTAAATTCCAGAGCTGCCAAAACTGGAGAAGAGTGACAGAGCAGAGAAAGAGGAACCTCTTCTTTCCATGCCCCCTTAGCCACCAGTCTGGCTGCACATTCAGCCTGACCTGCTAATGTAGGACTGATCCAAATGGGAAAACATGTTAGTAAAAAAAAAAAAAAAGAAAAAAAAAAAGAGTCAAATGTGTGATCCCCATGAACCTGGAAGGTAAAGGGGAGTTGAATAAATAGCAGCATTGACTTGGCATGCAATTGTAGAATAATTCAGAACTGAACATAAGTAGGAATTACTTCTAAAATGTTACAAAATTCATCTTTCATAGTTGCATAACTCTGTATTTAAAATTAGCATCCTATTCTGTTATACTGGTTTGTAACTTAGGAAGTTAAATTTAATAAGTTAAAGTATACAGCTTAAAGGAAAAAATCTGATAAACATGTTTAAAATGTACACTAACAGAGCAGAGGTATTAATAGGAAAGCATTACTGCAGTTTACTTCAATTCCCTTTGAAAGTCTAATTTAACACTTGCAAACCAAAATGGTTTTTAAAGAAGTATTATTATTAAGGCTTTTCAAATAAAAAATAAATCCTCTGGGTAAACTTGCATTAAAGACACTTGAAGGTTTGTGAAAGCACAGACTCCGAGAGACATTGCTTGAAAAAACCATGTCACCTCCTGCTACCTCTGAGGATAAATACTGCTCTGTTATGACTGCATGTACTGCATTACTTGTGGTAGCATGCTTCTCCCTTTTGTTAGTCTAAGAACAGTGACCACAGTCTGCAGGAACACCTCTTATGCTGCAGCTAACCACATCTTCTTACAGAATTAGTGATATCCAGCAGATCCTGCTGCTGCAAGGTGTGCACGCCCAAGGGACCACATGGATACAAACTGAAGAAGACAAGCTGAGTAACAGAGGTAAGCATTAAGGCAACTAGAGTAACAAATCCAAGAACCACAAGTTTAGCACCTCTTCTCTTCGCCTCTATTTGCATATTTGTTTGAACAGTCACAACTCCTAAGCAAGTACAGCCAGCTGGGTACCTGGTTATCACACACACACACAGATTTGAGGTTGTGCCCCTTTACAGACATCATGAAATGCTGAAGTCAGATCCAGGTGTGGGCTTCTTGAAGAACCTATCGACTGCAGTGTATTCCTTCTGCATTTGCCTTGTACCTCTGTTCAGGGGTGGGATGCCTGGGCTCCAGAGTGGGGGGGTATGTGGCATTCAGATCCACTCCAGCTGCTGGAGAATGCTTCTCCTTGTGGAAGCTTCCACTCTCTGTGAAATAGAGCTTGGGTCTCTGGTGGTACTTGAGCCTGTAGGTGTCAGTCATGCAGCTGTCTACTGAGAAGTAAGTGGTTAGGGACACGTTGTCGTTCCCATCCGCATAGGCAGGGCTGGGTCCCGTGTGACGAGATCCTTTCTTCAGCATGTTCTCAGACACGGTCCAGAACTCATTAACTGATAAGCGAGGTGGAGAATCCGGTTTATGAACAAACACTTCATTCCCTGGAAAGGGCTCCTTAAGCCTTTGTTCAGCTGGGACTGCACTTGCTTCTGCTGCAGATTTTGAAGGTGCACCTGTTTGCCTTAAGGGACTATTTCGCAACGTTTCCGTTGATTTTACATCTGCTACCGCGTTATTCTCTGACCCTGCCAAAGCGCTCAGAGTGTATTTCTTTGGGGGTAAGGGGGGAGGAACGTTCTGGTACACGGCTTCAGGCACCCAGAGGGGATCTGCTCTCCGGAGCAGGTGCCCCATGTGCTCACTGGGAGGGGCGGGCGGCACCGCCGGCCTTTCCTGCAGGCCCTGAGGCACACAGGGCACCAGCCCTGCCTTGGGACCCAGAGTGTGATGGGACAGACTTCTTGGGTGGTGGGACTGCGGCTGGGCAGGGGGGGGAAGGTCACTGTGGATGGGCTTCCTGCCACAGGCATTGTCTGGGAAGGGGTGGGGCACGCTGTCTGCACAGAACACGGGCACGCTCAGCTTCTCCAACCTCTCTGCGTGAGGCCACTCGCAAGGGCTCGGCTCGTTTGCCTTGTTCCTGCTCTCTGACTTCACAATCTCTTTGACAGCTGGCTGCAGAGCTGATGATGGGAAAAATTTCCTGTTGGTCTCAGGCATTTCAGCTCTAAAATACAAAACCATGCAGGATGTGAGTATCCATAAAAACATATGAAAAGGCTCAGATAACGGAATTTTTCAAATACACCCTTGGTAAAACTGCTGAAATAGTCAAACTGACAAGAGAATTAGGATCTGTTCAATAGGATACAGCCCTTGGAGTTGGAGTTGTATTAACTTACTCTAGAGTTTCTTCCATTTGAAATGTAAATGTGCCCCAAGAAGGTAAGATAAATTCCTTCAACATTCACAACAGTCACATATTTGACTAAGTCAAGTATGTCCTCTGCTCTCTTCTCAACATCCTTGTGACTCTGATACATCCATGTTTCAAATACTGGATGCTCCCTTAAGTTGATACATTTGTATTTACATTTTTGATTTTTAGGAGATATTGAGCACTTAGAGTTCATATTAGAACAACAAGATACAGCAGTAGCTTCTAAACACAAACTCTTCTCCCTCTTCCAGACCAATCTTTCAAAGCTTTATGGGGTGACTGCACTGACCACAAATTGGTTAATCACTGCATGTTCCATAACATTCCAAACAGGAAAATGTTAAATCCCTCTGCTTCTGCTAAGATGGTTTCAAGCCATCTAAGCCAATTGGTGACATTGTCAGCATCAAAATTAAAGACAGAGTTTAGACCCATCAATTATGCAAAATTCAAAAGGAATTGCCTGTCAAAAATATTGAGTGCTTTAACTTGGCAATGCTTAATATTGATCATTGTAACATAACAGAAATCAGTATTTCTTAAACTATTACAGAGGAATAGGCCAGTACTGGTTACCTCTTTACTGGAGGACTGGGCACCTGCAAATGTAATTCTGTTGGGAAACCAACATGAGGATGAGGTCTGTAGTTAATTTCAGAATTGATCTGGTCTTTCCTCAAATCTGGGGCTAGAAAAGAAAATATTTCACAATTAACAGATGTAAAATCCAATTCCTTCTTTGTAATTCCTCAGAGATTACAGAAACAAAGAAAATACAACAGGACAATCTCTTTCAAGATTTGAGATTAATCAAAATAACCATTTTGAAGATAATCTGCACAGAAGGTCAGATCTTAGAATCTGGAGGAAATTTTTTGCATTTTCTTGTTACCAGAAAATAGGTAATTATCACAATTTTGAAGTCCTGTAGACATATTTTCAAGATCACCTTAATATTTAATGTGGCTAAAGGCACATTTTCCAAGGAAGCTTTTCTTAAAAGGGTGTTTATTCAAACATCCAAAGTCATTTAAATGACAAAATAAGAACTAGGACTTCTAAAAAGTCATTATGTGTTGCAATAATTAAACAGAATGAATACTGCAGAGATTGGGGGTGTTTGAGGTTGTTCTGTTGTTTGTGGGTTTTAACAACTCAAACCCTAGAGCAGGCTGTAAGGCTGACAGAGACACTGGGCAGCCAAGGAGCACTGTCACCCACGTGCCCCAAACACACAGCACTGAGTGCCTGGGCCAGCACTACTGCACTCCCACTCCTCAAGCTCCTTTCATTCCCAGGCAAAGAATCATTCCCTGAAAATACTCAAGTTCTGGACAAGGCAGCTCCTAGTGAGCAGGAAATAAAGGAAGCATTGAAGTATTCGTGTCAACACCACACAGCACAACCCACTCACTTGGCAAGTGACAAGCAGCAGTCTATTTGTTTAGAGATGGACACTCCAAATCTTCCTAATGCCATGATTAGCCCATTCATATCAGTCACCTGTTCTGAAGTCACTTAAACGAATGGCTTCTTATTTTTATCATTATTAATACAATGGCTTATTTTGGCTATGTACAGACTACACTCATAACTGCTACACCTATTTCACTAGTTATTTCCCTAAATCTAAATATTTAAAGCCATGGAACTTTAGACTCATGAACATGTGAGCCAAAACCCCAACAATTGAGCAGAACTAAAGTGAAAACTTGGGTGCTGCTCTTTGTGATACTTGTTTGAGGGTCAGTCTCTGCCCTATGTTTGGGTGACCTGAGACTAAAGACATGAAATCTTTGACCAAGAACACAGGTAGTAGAGGCTAAAGCAGCACACAGCTCAAGAGACAAAGCCACCATATGGCTTTCCTCAAGTTTTGAGATGAAAAAATAAAAGTCACAATCAACAATACCACAACCTTAGAAATAACATTTATGGGAAAATATTCTTAGTGAATGAGATCATGCAAGGCACAAGTAAGTAACCTGAGAGTTCAAAACAGCCTGTGTGCCACGGAGCTGCCTAGCAGTGAGATAACCAACACTGAGGTAGTATTTTGCACAGCAACATTGCATTCTGCTGCAGGCTGGGATGATTTTCCCTCCAAGCCCGACTCCCGCAGGAGCCGGGAGGTGGCAGCAGAGGCCAGCGAGCGGCTCCCTCGGGCACTTCCAGCAGCGCCAGGTGCTCTGTGCCCGCGTCATTCCAGCCAACTTAAAAATAGATGTGTTATTTTCCCTTCTGCTGACAGGACAGCCATGCACGGTTAAAACCAGACGCCGGCTCGATTGGGAATTTTGGCTCTACGTTCTCTGCAAACCTAAATATGGGACACACAAGCCCTGCTCAGCTGGAGCCCAGCATCCTTATCAATGGGTCATTAAGAGCCGAGCAATAAACGAAAGGTAATTGTGTTCTGATATATAAACCAGTCTGCTTTTAAGATTTACAGACATCTATTTTCACAGCTGGGTAGTCAATCCAGATTTTCAAGAGATGAACATTAATTCTGCAGGTAGGACTAAGCCCACAGATAGGACCAGCAAGGTCTTGTCTAATATATCTCCATTTACACAGACCGAACATGTGCAAAAATCTACCAAGTCCAGCTTCTGTGGGGGAAAAAATCCCAAATGAAAATAAACACAAAACCCCTATGGAAACCTCCAACAAAAACTCAACTCCACATTAAATTCAGCTTCCTCTTTATGGGTTTTAACTGCATGCTTCCTGGAATTTTTTTTTAAGATTTCCTAAGTTGTCAGTGAAGAACCCAGCAACAAAGCAGAATACTTATTGTAACAAATATTTGTGGGCAAATTCCTCTCTCTTAGCCCAGACATTTTCTGTATTCAGTTCAAATAACAGGCAAACTTATTGGAAGTTTTGGAAATGTGGAATAATAGCCTCTCAGTCAAGGAAGTATGTTATATCTTGTCCAAAATGCAGTATTATTTCTGAAATACAGTGAGCAATCGTTTTAAAAAAGTAAAAAAAATCCTTTTATTCTAGAAACTTTACTTCTGGAGGAACATTCAGTTGCTTTCCTAGCTATCTTTATTTTAGCATTTGAAGACACTCTAGTAAAGCCTCTATTTGTTGCTCTTTCATGGTAAGTAAACTAGCTACCAAGCTTGAATTCTTTACTCCTATCTTAAAACTTGACATTAATGTACATTGACTGCACCATAAGGGTAACAGCTGGATTTCCTTAAGAGCAGTTGCATGTTTTACATTATTACTATAAATGTTCAGTTTTCCTAAGCATATGAGCTGTCTTCTTGAGTTGTGGTTGGTTTGTGGGGTTTTCTGAAGTGACACATAAGCAAAGGCAATTTGGCTTCTTCTTACACACTAACCAGATCTTCAGAATGATTCTAGATTTCAGTTTCAGTTGGCACATGCTATTGAACTGAACAATGGGAAAACCATTAAAAAACAATGGGAAAACCATCAAAATTAGTAATCTTTCTTTAACTTGCAGAACATGAGGCTGAAAATTTTGCTCTCACACTGCTCATGTCTCAGGTTTTTCATACTCAAAAAAATTTTTCCTCCTCAGCTCACTGAGTTCAAACTTTATAAACACATAGTGATTAATATAAATAATGGATACTACATCTGCTTACTCAATATTTACATTTTCCTGCCAAAATCTGACCACACGATTTAGGGATTGGCTTTGTGGGACCTTTGTTACAGTACTACAGTTATCCACTGCTTACTGCCCCTGTAAGGAGCAGCCACTTGCTCTCCCAACCACCATGTGATCCAGTGTTTCCATCTTTATAATGTTCTGACAATAAGTTTATTTTGGTTAAGTCAGGGACAGAATTCCACAAGTGCTGAACAGTAACCTCATTGAGCTCCAGTAAAAAACAAGGAGCTGGTAAAGCATAGTTATACAAACGGTGGGCATAATTACAAGTCCAACATTATTTCCATAAGAAGTTTTCCACACAAGAAAACCACTCAGACATATTTTTTTTGGAGTTGCCATGAGAGCCTAACAAAGATTTCTTACATTCCATTCCTCTCTCAGAAAGGACTAAGCATTTGTTTTTTAAAGTCCTATTTTCTGGGAGTCTGTCTGGTATTTACCTACCAATCCATGTCTCACCCATCATATTCAGAGGTGGAACACAAGGTAATATAACTGATATATTACACAAGGTAATATACTGATAGCTGTAAATGACTGCTGTTGTCCTTGCTAAAGGTGTCCTGACACGCTTTTTCACAACCCAAAAGCTGAGTCCAAATATATTCTTAACCTTACATAAATGTAAAGTTATCCAATACTTCAGATCTCTTTTTGGTCCATTGATCACTTGCATTAGAAGTATTATTTTCCAAAATGGAGCTCAATACATGTAATTTTTATAAGAAGCTATTTAACCATTATCTACTGAATTAGAATAATTGAATAGGTGGGATCCTATCATCAATTTCTTTATGGTATCTTGGAGGATCACATGGAATCACTGTACTTTTTTAAAGAAAATGTAGGATGCATGTTGAAAGCTTTAAGTCTTCTTAAGTACTCTCTCCAGAGAACAATTCATTGCTTTAACACACTCATTTTTAATGCCTAAAAAGTACTTAAGTATTTTTCACTGGGTTTTTTCCCTTTTTCCTATCCAACTGTGTTGGATAAAAATGATACAGTACAGAACTAAAGCAGAATAAATCTCATGCAAATCAGATCTTTGCATTCCATGCTACTCATTTTTGGTTGGGTTGTTTGTTTGTTTTTTGTTGTTTCTTTGTTTTGGGTTCTCAAAACAAGCAAACATGAAATTCGTTCTCTTTCAGCACTAAAAACAAAATTAGAATAAGGAAAGAGAAGGTAGAAGTGGCATGGCAATACCCCCACCCCCACTTTAAATCCTAGGAGAAACTATACTATACATTATTTGAAAAGAAGTATGATATCTATAAAAATCAAATGTTTCCTGAGGAAGTGGCCTAATATTTATTGCCCCTCTTTGTACAAGCACCCTCCCATTGTTTCAACAGCAGCAGATAATGATTTTGGCTGGCCTCAGGCTGACCTATAATATTTATATGCCAAAGCATTTATCAGCTTTATAAAACCCTAGCAGACATATTAGTATGTAAAAGGAAGTAGACTTCCTCATTACAAGTGTTTCTTCCTGATACTGCTTCATATCTAGGAGGAAAACAAATGGTGCCACAGTCCACCCAGACATTTTAAAAAAAAGTCTTGCTTAGTATGCACCAAGAAATCTCCTGGAGAAGCTTCTGGGGAAACCACAGGGAGTGAACCAAAATACCATGTCATCTCTGTTAGGGATTTGTGGGGTTTGGGGCTGGGGGGAAGAGAAATTCTGGTATATCTACAATAGTTCTTGAAAACTTAATTTTTATATGGGTTCTTACCATGGAAGCTTCTGTTCTGCTGGGGTACTGAATGTACCACACTGTCAGCTTTTTTGGTTGGCAAGTTCTGGTCACTGTAACAGAAGCATATATGTGATTACAGCATTGAAACTGTTAAACAGACACCACTGGTCATCTAATCCAATTTATTTGTAGGTATAAATACCTTAAGTGTAACCTGTTAACCAGCATTCCATCTTGTCCATTTTCCTAATTTGATAATTTGCTATTCATTTATTCTTTGTTTTGGTAACAAATATTATTCTAAGTTTTGATTGCCACTTGGTATCTCATTCATAGGGATTTTCATTTGATTTTTTTCCCCCTCAAACTGGAATAGAACTGGAAGATCACAGCTACAAACCCAAAAGGAGAGGGAAAAAATTATCAGAGGATTTAGTAAATCTTGCTGGTTTAGATAAGCAGAAAACATGCATTACTAATCCAGGTAAGAAGCTGACAAACACTCTGCCAATTTCTACCTTCTACAAGAGTAAGGCAGGGAAGAAGATACATGGGGGCAAAAGTTCAATTTTTAAAAAAAACACTGTTACTGAAAGGACACAAAAACAAGAAAAATACTGAAAGAAATATGAAGAATTAAAACCAGTAATATTTCCACTTTCTAAAAGGACTTTGAAGTAATTGATTTGCATTTTTGGGGGTTTATGAGACAGAGTCTGAGAGGTTAGCAGGGAACTAGTAGGTACTTCCAGCCAGTTGAAGTTACCAGTCATATAAAGCATGTCTCCAAGTCCCAGGAAGTCAGTTGTATTTGGATAAAGTATGATTCTTCTTTTCTGTGATGTTGTTGTTTAAACAACGATGTAAGCAGCTTCTTAATGAACTACACTGTTTGAAATTCATCATATTCTCTCTCACAAAATGATACATTTGGGTGCCCCATTGTCTCTTGGGCATGCTTAAAATGAGACAGCTTCAACTGTGCAAAATCACTGTTTGAGGCAACCGTCAAACACTGAAAATACAACCATGAGTTGGAGTAGCTTTATACATAATTATGTCATTAACTAATAAAAGCCCATCAGGTTTTTGCATAATGGGATTTTGTACAATTTGGTGGGTGGGACAAAGGAGAGAATGGCAAACAGCAGGATATCAAAGGGCCTTGACCTTGCTCTTTTCCTGTGAAATAAGTTGCCATGAAAATATATGTCTGAAAATTTGCTTGGATCTAGCAAATCAGATCTATCAAAGAGAGTTGGGCTTGGGCTCCCAACTGTGCTCTTCCATTTTATGGATGCAAATAAGATTTGAAAAAAGAATGGGTTATAGAAGTATCTGCATTCTACACACAGTTTGAGATACACAATACTGAAAACTGCATGTGGAAGGATTCCAGCTTTCTATTTCAAGCATCACATAAATTTAAGTTGGAATGGACCTCTTCAGCTCATCAAGTCCAACCAGTTTGAGTAACTTTACACTTTTCAGAAAAGATTTATTTCAGACAGGTCAATCAATTACCAAGCGTTCAATACATATCTGAGGTGATCTAGAAAACTGAATTTCTGCACTATGACTGGTAACAGCACCCAAAATTCGCCTACTGCCACTCCCATCTCCTTGTCAGGGCCTGAACCAATGTTACAGGTGTGATTAAAATGGACACTGTATTATTCCACAGCAGATGGAAAGTTACACACAGTCTAAAAATCTTGTAAGTAAAGGAGTATAGCAATTACTACAAATGAACACACCCTGCCCCTCAGCAGGGCTTAGCAGTTCTGGCTCAGAGCCTCAGTAACTGGCTCAGTGCCTCCCAAAGAGAACCAGAGTGAAGGTAAATGGAACATTTAACTGCCCACACCCTTATTTCTAGATACACTTTAGCTTTCCACATACCTGACTTCAAGCAAGTTTCAATGCATGTTCTCCTGGATGGTTTTGGTTTTGAAGAACACACAAACGTTAGAACAGGTTATTTTTCCATAAATACAACCTATGCAAGCTCTAAGAGAACTAGCATTACCTGCAGGAAGCACTTTCCTTCACATTCTTGGCATCTGCTGTATTGATTCCTTCAATAACAGGGGAGTCTGGATTTGCGGAGCCGTTGCTGATATGGTCACTGCTTTCATACCCAGATTCTGTCCTCTGAATTTGCCAGTTATCACCATGGATTTTTCTCTCTGCAAATCCCTTGCTTTTTTCAGCATTCCCTTTTCCCTCAGAATCCAGTGAACTTCGACTTCCTGTATCCTGTTTTGTCTCATCTTCATATATAGTCATTAAACCCTTCTGCATTTGGTTCTCCTTGGGCCAGTGGTTAAAGCCCCGCTCCTTTTCATGCTTAGATTTACTGCTCAGGTTTGCTTTGTGCTTTGGGCTGTGCTGCTTCTTCTCAGTCTCACTGAAAATGCTGTCTACATTCAGTGTCTCTCTCATTGGTTTCCAACCTTTGCTCCTGCTCCTCATACTTCCTTTGTCCCTGGAGTCTTGGCTGGTGTCTGTGTCGTAGCCAGTGACGCCATCGCTCCGAGTCCTTGTCACTGGTTTGTCCCCTGCAGGAGAAGGTTCTGCTTTGTTTGATCCAAGCACATGTGCAGAAAGCTTTGCCTGCTGAGGTGCTGGGCTCTCGTGCCTGTAAGGGCCCCTTCCCTGGCTGCCGTAGATCCGCTGATCCGCGCAGTGCCTCAGTCCATTTCCGACCGGAGGAGACCCTGACTTAGCACTGGAACGCTCTTCCCCAATCAAGTCTGACAAGAACAAAAGGAAAAAAACTTCCATTACAGTTCTCATTCATGTTTCATAGAATGATTTGTTTGGAATGGACTTCAATGTTCATCAAAGTTCCAGCTGCCTTGCTACAGGCAGGGACACCTTCCACCAGACCAGGTTGCTCAGAGCCCCATCCAACCTGGCCTTGAACACTTCCAGGGTGCAAGCAGTCATTTAACTGATATTGTTTAATATTTCTTACAGTATCTCTACAAATCCAGTATGTATTTTAGCATACTGAAAACTGGGAAAGTGTGATCTTACAGTATGGTCTCTTAAAAGGAGAAAAAAAATCTGCACAAGCAGCATTGATGCTAAAAGTTAATTAATACATTGGTTCTCTGGTTATATTCTTAAAATGTACCTCTTTGTCTCCCAGACTCTTTCCTTGGTCCTCTGTCTGCATCTTTCCGTAAAGATGTGAAGTTTTTCATGTCAGCAGCTTTCTGGGCACACTCTCTGGATAAATCCTTCAGCCTGTCCTTTTGCTCACTGTATCCCAACTTGGCTGCAAAAAATACTTCTTGTCAAACATCCTTGCTCAAAAGTAATTCATCACCAAAACACAAACATATTTATGGACAGTAAGATCTAGGTTTTAGTGTTAGGACTACTTAAACTGACTAATTAATTGTTTGACACAGATTAAGAGTGTGGGATTTGTTTCCAACCATAAGATCAAGTTCATTTATATCCAGGACTATAAATCATGCTGATATCACAGTATTGCTGGGGAAAAGTATACTCAAGTAGCCAGTGACCAACAGAGCCACACCTCAGCCTCAGGTCACTGATGTGCCTTTTAATCAGCAACATCACTGGAAAGCTTGATCGTTTTTGAGAAATGGAACAAGGCCTCAAGAGCCACTTCAGTTAAAGCATAACAAAGGTAATAAATATTCTGCATTTACAGCTCTCTCTGGAAAAGTTAACATTCCATGGCAGATATTCAGATATTACTTAAACATTGAGAAAATCTTTGAATAACAACTGAGTCAATGATGGAATTTTTTCCCTTAGAAATAGTTCTAGTCCCGAGGTTAGAACCCCCCTGAAATGCTATCAACTGAAATTTTTCATAATAAAACAGATCCGGTTTGGCTTTTTGGGGTTGCCAGTAGGGAATACACACCTGGGCCTCTACCACCACTTGCTTGAATATGGCTTCTAGTGAACGCTGGATTATCTGGCTGAAGTTTTTTATTACTCCTTTGATTAGTGGAATCTCCAATTCCATTCTCTTTCACGTGGTCTGATTTAGCAGCCGAATGCTTTTCAAATCCTATCAAAAACATATTTATCTTTAGAAATAAAAAGCTTCCTAATTTAAATTCTTACTATATAAAATTATAAAAAGAGAGAAAGCTTTTTCATTCTGGATTAAAAAGCCAGAAGAGAAACATCACCAAAAACCACACTACATTTCAATAGACTAGGCAATAAGGTTCTCTAATATTTTATATACTGCCATATTTATAGTGGTAGCCTGCAGTGAAACAGGGCCCTCAGTTCTTTGCTGCCTGAAGTAATCTATGTGAAGAATAACATGTCAAATGCAATTTGCTTTTTATTTAAGTTCCTTGTAATTAAATGAAATTTTTTAAAATGAAATTAAAAAAGCCAACCTGAGACAGCAGTACAAATTACAGAACCAAAAGACTGGATTCTTTTTCCCATTACCCATTAGTCTCAATTTGTATCCCCTTATTAACAGGTCTAATACTGAGTATACACACTAATCTTTTTTCTTTTGAGACTCTTTGGATAATTATTGATTAAAGTATTTCAGAACAAAGCAACCAATCCATTTTTTCTCCTTTATAATGCCCATTTCAGAAATAGAGCTGATACTGTTATAAAAAAACCCATATATCTCATTACCCAGGTCTTCCCCATTTCCTCCTGCTGCTTTGCATTGAGACCAGTGAATAATCTGCTTTGGTGCATCTTCTGGAGACACAGCTGTGCCATCTGGGTTAGCATAAAATAGCAGCAATGGTTGGAAGTGACACCGAATGCACCTGGACACCACATCTTTCCATTTTGTTCCAATCTAAGAAAAAAACAGGAAAACAAAACCCCAAAACTTTATCAACAGTGCTGAACCCAAATATGGAAAGAGTAATTCATTAAGCAAGAGACACCAGCTGCCTAATTCCAAGTGTACATGAAGATACAACATTTTAGCACAATGGGTTGCATAAATGGCAGCAAAAAGATAGAACTAGTACTGTAAGGGCTAAAAAGCAGATCATCTTACCTCTTTTACATTAGCATCATCAAACAGCACCCATTTGCAGCTCTTGGTGTGAAAGGCAAAGGCACAGTAATGTCGGCTCGTGTAGCAAATCATTCCCACCAGGAAGAGCTCACTGTTTTTGGCATTTTCATCTGTAACCCTATAAAACAGCTGTAAAAATGATTACATATTTTAAAACACGTGTAAAACACAGCCTCAATTTCCTGACCTCCTGCTAGCATTTCACCAAGGCAACCGTTACTTAATGTCCTGTTGTATTATACAATTTTTCCTGAGCATAAATACTGATTTTTGCACTTACTATGTCTATTTTAACTTTATTGGGTTTTTTTGTGTTTGAAGGACTAAAGTATTAATACTCTGGAATAATTCCACAAATTTCAAACGGAAAATGATATTCCTAGATTTTCAACGAGGAAGTCTCCTAGATTAATCATTGTACTTAGGAACAAAACACTTCCAACAGGACCTTTTCCTTTCACAGAAACTACATCAAGCAGCACACTATAAAGAACTGTAAAACTAGACATAAACTTCATATATTTATATAAACTTGATGTCAAGTTAAGTTGTGCTTATAAAAAATAAATATGAATATTTCTCTTTTTTATATATTCACATATACATAAAATAAAAAGTAAAATTAAATTCTAGAAAAAGCAAAGAGTAAGTTTTAGGTCAGATACCCCTGGAAGATAAAGTTGTGTTGCCAGATTCCGCATAACCTCTTCTGTCAGGTCAGAGTGTTCTGAATCCCAGACTAGACCAATGGTGACAATCTCAGGACAATTCATAAGAACACGACGAATTTTTATTTTTTGACCACAATTACTCTAGAAAAAAGGAAACAAAAGTGTTGAAAATTGGAAGTCCAAAGGTGAGTTACTGCATAACAATTAGTTAAAAAAAACAACACTGCAATGTCTTTAATCCCAAAATTTAGTTATGGTGTTTGTTCCTAACAATTTAAGGATAACATTGTTCATCATAAAAACACTTGGATGAAGACTACAGCTTAACTTCCATATCCAATCACTACCTTAAAACAAATCTCTATAACTGGAACAATAAAACATAAGTGTAAAACCTTTGTTTGCCCTAAGTTGACTGCTCTGAAGCAGCACCACAACACATAACCCTGCTTTTAGAGGAACACTTCTAGCCTGATTGAATATTGCAAAGAGTTCTCCCTTGTATCCCAAAGTCATGTAACCTTTTTGTTTACTTACAGGACACTTTCTGTAGTCATCAGCAGTATTTGCTGCCTGCAGCAATTCCGCAAACATTTCTGGCTTGAGACGTTCGTGCCTCTCCATCATTTTTTCTACTTCATTACTGCAAAAAATAAATTACATACTTATGCATCTCCCTTCTGAAGAGTAACAGATTTTAATTAACTGTATTGTATAACTAAAAAGAAGACACACAGTAGTAAAACAGTAGCAATACACATTTTTTTTGTCAAGCCCTTTCTACATCTTGCTTTTGAAACCCAAATGCTATTTATGATCAGTATCTCAAAAGCATGTTGCAACCAAAAAAATATATATTAATTTTTAACAATTAAAAGCCTGAGATGCTTTTGCATATTATTAGAAGGGTGCATATAGAAAAATGAGTAACAAAAAAAAAAAACGTTCTTACCACAGGGCTGTGGTGGAAATGTAACGCACAAATTCCGTAAAAGGCAATGGATCTGATGATGCTCCACAACTACGACACACACACTACAAAAAAAACCAAAAACAAAACCAACTTCTGCTTTTATTTACTAAGGAAAGAGAAAACAAGGTATTTGTTAAACCAAGCAAATGAAGGTCTGACCTGCTCATACAGGGTCATAGCAAACTTCTGGTGAGAAATACAGGATTTCGAAGTGCACATATCTGTTTCACTGTTTGGCACTAAGTGGAAATGAATCCTCTCAAGGATATTTTCCTAAAAAGAAGAAATAATATAAATGTAAGCTGAACTGATGAAGTCAGAACACATGATGAACATTACAATGTAGTACTCTAACTATGCCCCTTGGCTCCAAAATGCTGCGGCTGCAATGAGTGTGTCCCCTGAATTAGCAAGGCCATTTTTTCCTTTTGTCAAAAATATCCAAGGTAATGGAAAGAAGTGAATCTATTCAGGTAGATCAGACAGATGATTAGTTCAGGAGTCCAAATGCATTTTGAGTAGATGGAACAGTAATAAGAGGCTCTCTTTCATGACTGCAAGATCTCAAATAGCCTCTTTCAGGAGTTCTGCACTGGATTCTCCTACATATGTGAAGCAACATCTAGCAGGTAGGAATTAATTTGTGGATACTCCCAAAGAATGTCCAAAGCTGAAAGTAACTGAAGCAGCAACCATATTTCCTGCCCCTCAAATCCATGTCTGAATGTTAATACTGCAGGTGTTTCATGGGGAACATTTTCACTGTCTAACACAGGAGCTCTTAGGACGGTTTCTTTACCAGAGTTCTGTGACATCTGGAGTCACCTTTAAAGGCCACAGCAGTGGCTTGTGTTGTTCCATCAGACACTTCACTGAAGCAGAAAGTAACTACAGCAAAATCTTCCAGTATTTGCTCACTCTTGGGTAAGACAATGGAAATCTCTTCTGCAGCAGAATTCAGCAATGAGCTGGCCAGTTCTAACACACTGTATTTCAATAGCTGGTGACCCAATACTTCAAGGAACAGACAATATATTCAAATCCATAGGTGCTTCTCCTGAGAAGACAACCTTTCTCTCCACCAAAGTATTTTTAAGAGCTCATCATCAGCTACAAAGTTAAGGGAGGAAAGTATGGAACAAATGCAAGAGTACTCCATCGAGTACTCCATCCCCCTTACCTGACACTTCTACTCCATGTGTCTGTTGCCCTAAACAGGCATAAAGCAGCTCAGCAGGATTATGTTATTTAAATCCTACCCATGAGCCCAGAGCTAACAAAACCCCTAAACCCGTAATAGAATTCTACTGAACTCTCATGAAGACGCTTACAAAGCATTCTGCTGCATCATCCATGAATCCCAGCTGGAAGCGCTGCTCATCCTTGAAGCTTTCGGCGAGGGCGTGTCTCATGTTATCCGACGGGAGGGCTTTCTCTCTGCTGTGCTGGAACTGGGAAAAGATGGCCTAGGAGGAAATGCAGGGATTATTTAGCTTCATTAACCACTTGGCTAGACACTGTGCTTCTACACAAATACATCACATCTTGCATAAACATGCGAAATGTTTATATTTACAATGCTTATAAATTTCAAAATTACTGTTTTCTCTTCAAGTTACTACATTTGTATTCTGCTGATTCCTCTACAAGAAGTTATGGTACCAAACTAAACACTGAACCTGTAGAACAACAACATACAAATACAAAATTAAAAGTGATTGACTTGAGCTCCCAGAGGCATCACAGGCCCTGTTCTGTAATTATACCATTTTTTTAATTTGGCCCCTGGAATAGCAGTTCATCCATATGTATCTCATGTCTACAGATGGTGTGTATTTCTTAGGGCATAATGTAATACCACTCATGATTCACTAAATAATGTGATATTTACTGCTTAGGAGGGGAGTATATCTTTATCAAAATTATAAACCTCCCATAAATTAGATAGAATGCCAATAATCCTTGCTATGAAATTAGCTCAGTGCTGAACCAGTGCACACAATACAAGAGAAAAGGTCAATATCTGCAGTTCTGGGACATGATAATAAATTGCACTTGGTTTTTAATTCATTTCCCAGAAGAGAGAGTTGGCTGCTACTCTTCTTTTTGGCAGGGATATCCATCCAAGTGAGCTCATCATTTAGCAAGTAAAGGAGGTTGATTCTGAAAGAACTGAAAGTTAAAAGCTATTAAATGAATTACAGATTTGCAGATATTTAAAGGTGTCTTCCCCAGTCAAGAATTATAAGTCAAACTTTACAGAGAACCATAGAGACTAAAGACAAAGCAAGTCAGGAGAAGCCATGTAAAACATAAATAAGGATGGGCATTCTTCACATAGGCTTCCTATGGTTAAAATCTGTTGGACAGAAGGCAAAGATAAACCAGAGAAGCAAAGTTTCACTGCTAACAAAAAGTATTGTTTTAACCATGATGCATTCCAGAGTGTCTCTCAAGTATTTAATCTTCCCTCTCAAAACAAAAAGCAGGGACTACTGACAAAAATTGCAGCCATTACTATCTCCATGCAAACATTCAAAATGAAGTTTTTAACAGATTGCTTTGAAAGCATTTATCATTCCTTATTTTGGCTGCTAGGTCATTTTTTGTTATGCAACATAGCTTTTTATGTCCAGCTAAAAAAAAAAAAAAAATATACAAGCAGTACAGATAAGGATGTGTGCAGACAGGTATGCTCAGTTTAGTGGCCTGCACAGTCCAAGTCCCAGAATTTACTGGCTGTGCTTTTAGTTCATAGGAGAAGCTGACAGAGAAAAAATATCCTTCATTGTTAAACAGGTAAGAAGGGTTACAATAGCCTAAGAGCATAAAAAGAACCCTGACCCAACCAAAAAATCCACTTAAGACACAAACAAGTCACTGTTGATCCTCTCCAGTGTATATATTGCATGGAAATTAACATGTCCAAGATTTTGAACACTGAACAAACAGAATTACTCAACCAGTGTCTTATAGAGCCAAGAAAGCAAAACCAGAAGTGTACAGAGCAGCTGGGGACAGACCGTTCCAAGTGAATTAACTACTCTTCTTTGAGGTGAGTACATAGAGCATAGAGTTAAATATCACAAATACATTGTTAAAAAAATAACTTATGCCGTTCTAACCAACTCCAGAATCCTGCAAAATTTCTTCTTTAAATACAAGAAAATATTTCTCTAACAAACATTTGTTAAAAATGTCCTTAAAACTAAATTCTTCTTTACAAAAAGAATGACTCAGTCACCAGGGATAGGTATGATACAGACACACACTTCCAAAAAAGAAGTTAAATTGGTTTTTGCTCATTGTGAAATATGATTTTTCCAGAATTTATCTACCTTTAAAGCACAAAATATGCAAGCATCTCCTTGACACACGTGTCCAGTTAAACCTCTTAAACTTCGTCGAAATATGTCAAGTTGCCACAATACCTAGAAAAATAAAGAGAAAATCAGTAACTGATCAGAAAATGAGTTCTGAAGGTTCTTTGCTTACACAACATACAGTAGATTTTAATTCTTTTTTTATTTGACATAACATACAACTTAAGTATCAATATTGCTGCAGGAAATGTGCATTATTTTTTTTCCATTATTTGCTAACTTATGGAGATGGAAATTAAAGTTTTACATTCAGCACTTGAAATTTAGATCTGTCTTTTAAACTTTTTAACACAATGTATTTTGGAGAAAAAGCTGAAGTACTCACAAGGAAACAAGCAGCAATGTAAACCCTGTACAGGGACAGCAGCTGTTTTCTTAAAGCTCTACATAAGAGTTAAGTCCTATATGATATTCTTACAGTCTCTTATCAAAATGATTGGTGAAATACATTTGTTTTTCCACAGATCAAAATAATCCTGCTGCTTACACAGGTACGTTTCTACCTCTTATTTGGGTAAATACCCCACAAAAACGTAGTAACAGCTTGGCTACACCCACTGCTTTCAATATCTCATGTCTTGGGTACACACGAGGTAAAGCAGTTGAGAAAGTTGTCCATAAATAAATAAAAATAAAACCCCTAAAAATGAGTTGTCAAGAGGCACAGTAAGACAACAGCTGCAAATTCAGTGGGGAAAAGATATCCTATCTATAAATATAAAAGCTAAAATGAAATAGGATGTGTTGGAAACCCCAAATCCAAAGCTCAGTTCTGAAGGTGGAGCAGAGATTAAAAGAAAAGAAAAGAAAGGAACACATTCTTCCTTGTAAAAAGGCAGTCACCAACCATCTGCCCCTGCTGGATAAACAGCACTGGGTTGTGAAGTTGTAGGACTGTCTGAAAGTAGAACTAAAAATTACTTAGGGCTTCATTTTAGGGCACCTAAGTGAAAATAGCAGAACTGCAGGAGAATATAGGTCATGCTGCTCCCATTGGATGCAAAACAGCAAACCCTCTACTAAAATCACAGTACAATTTAATTTGAAATACATACAGATACTATACACACCACATAACTATACCTCTCATATCTCCAAGTTTTAAATCCATGCCAATTTTAAGCCTTCGAATTTTTAGGAAGACTTTAGGAAGTCCATGTCTATTAAGTCTCTGCCAGTTTGAGAAATCATTCTGTACAATTTAAAAACATTCAGATCCAAAATCTGAGCATTACAAGAAGTACCTTAGAAAGTAGAATTCTTAGAAGAATTCTTCTTAGAAGAAGAACTCCAAGTCATATTTCTTGGGTACCAAGTGTATCTCCTACTCTTATTCCACAAATCTTTCCTAGGATTAGAATCAAAGCCCTCACTATATATGCATATTCTGATATATCCCAGCATCACAGGGTTGCTCATGTGCTAATTCTGAGAAAATGAGATTTTAATAAAAATAGTGTCCTAGTCAATACAAGTAGTAATTGTTGCCCCACATAAAAAAGTGTCATAAAAATTTTGGAAGTTATTTTGCTATGCTTGACAAAAACATTATTTTTAAAATCCAAGAAGAAAGTTTTAAAGTTGTAACTCCTACATTTTCAAATACAAAAGGAAAGTTTTTCAGATAATCTTGATGCATGCAAATAAAATTTTGTGCAAAAAAAACATTAAAACTCTCAACTCTTTACAGCTAAATGCTGAATAAAAGTACCTTCATAACAGTGTCTTATCCCTACAATCGCCATTTTTATTTCCCACACACTCAGGAAAGTCTACTCAAAACATGTTTAATAGATTAAGTATTTTCTTACCTGAACAGCACTATTAAGAAAGCAGCTGTTTTGTCCAGGTTCATTTAATAAGCCTTTTGTAGGGGCCAGGGACAGGATACTTCCAGGCTGATAAACTTTTCCAAGGTTACCCCCAGGTTTTCTTAGGAATTTCACCCATGCCATTATTTTTTAGAGTTTATAATCACAATGTTCACACTAAAATATTTAAGGATATGATGGGTGCAAGGCAAAGAAGGTGGTTCTACAATAATTTTTCTAAAGTCATGGCATTCCATTCAACTCTGTGCAGTAGTAACCATTCATGGGCTTAAGTCCATTTCCATGAGCAGCTGTGAGCCATCCCTCAGGAGGAGTGTCCCAGTAAAAATACAGCTGGACAATGTTTTTAGCCTTCAGTCTTAAAAAAATAAATAAATAAAGGTGTCCAGTTAAGGTTAAAACATGTTAAAAGTCGTTAGAATACAAGTTCTTATTAAGCAAGTTGCACAGTAACTGACTTCTTCCAGGGATATCAATCAAGTATTACTATAAATCATTAGCTGTATTATATTGAAAGTTTCTATGTGTGTGTGTGGGTGTATATATATATAATCACAGGACTGGAAAGTTCTTGTCAGGTGTTATACTCCTCTTCTCTCATTTTGTTCCATCTTCTTTTTACTTCTAACTGTAACACATGAAATATATTCCAGTTTAGAAGATGTCATGCTTATTGCATTCTCTTTCCAGTGAACCTGAAATAAGAAAAAAAAACAGAAATTATTGAAAAAAAGAAAAATCCAAAATGTTAAAGAGCTTCTAAATTAAAAAAAGATCACGGCTAAAACAACCTCTAAATCTAAAGGCAAGATGAAATAGCCAGGAAAGAGCAGAAGAAAACATCCTCACCTAATAATTGTTTTTAAGGCATAAAAGTTATTTTATCTATCAATCTATTATCTTCTAATTTCTTACACATCTCCAAAGATCAAAATAAAATTGCTGTAAAGATTCTCCTAATAACCAGCAACAGCTTATAAAAAGACCATATAATGTATATATAATAAATATTATATATAACTATATATAATATATATTATATAAATATATTAATATATAAAATAATATATAATATATTCATAATATATATAAAATATATATTTATATATATATATATATAATATATATATAATATATAATTGATGAGTTATTCAATCTTTGAAACTCCAAGTCTAATAGAAACATTACCAAGAAGAAAGTCATTTTATTCAACACTCCAAAAGCTAAGCTGGTTTTGATTTTGATTTTATGGATGGATTGTCAGCTAGTACTCAGCTTTCAGAAGTTTCTTCTGCCTACTAAACACTACATAAATGTGTCATTAACCTGGCTGCATTCTCAAAGCAACCAGAAAAACAGTGCTAACAGTAAGGCAAGAACATTCTGGTCACTGCCCCAATTCCAAGATTTTCCAGTTCCAACAATAAGGGTTGTTTCTCCAGCTCTTGAAGGAGCGTGCTGAAGGTTAAATGAGTCCACTTCCAGAACATGCCCACAACCGCTTGTAAAGCCCAAGCCGTGATCCTCTCACAACAATGGATTATTCTGTCTGTTTGGCATTACTACACCACCCACACAAACATTTGGAGGAACAGAACAGAATAAATTTAAATAAACCAACACAACTGGGGTTGCATGCGTGGAAAAGAAAGAAGAAGAAAAAAAAAGGGTGAAATTTGGGCCTCACATTTCAACAGAGATATTCACCTCAGATTTCACAAGCATGTGAGATACTAAAGACACATCAGTATGCTTCAAAACCTGCAGCTTCTCACTACAGTTTTTTCCACTGTGTAAGCTTACCAAGATTAATGAGGAGTACTAAAAAACAAAAATTAATTGTGTAGTTGGAATACTGTATAACTGGAAGAGAACTTAGCTCAGAACAAGCAACACCACATTCACAAAAAACCGCTCTACAGCTCTCTAATACTATACAGCTGGGATATGTGGCTTTCAAAAATACCCACAGGAAGTCTTGCACCCCTAAAACCATTCCCCTTTATTCAAGACAAACATTGGTACTTGCTTGTATTTTAAAATAAAATCAATAACTGGAACCTAACCAAAAGTCTCTTTTGCGCCACGAATAATCAGATGAGTTCTGTTTGTTTACTGATGTTACTGTATCTCACCCGTAAGTAATTTGATTTAATAATACTGGAGATAGGAAGTGTGATTTGTAGCAGCGCTGAGCAAGGAATCTGAAATGTAGCTGGAAACTGACCTTGACAGAACATCATGTAACAATTTTGTTTTCTTTATGTTCACTTCAGTTAACCCAGGAAGAGAATAGGAAAAGAAAATGTAGCTGGAAATGTCTACCAGCTTCAGATCTTATTAGAAATATAAAATCTGTTTTGGAAACGAGCTCATCCAGAACAATTTAGGATAATGACAAGGAGCATTCATTTACTAAGAACTTACAGGAAGTAATTTTCTCTTGCATTTCAAGGATGCCCTACAACCAACACTCCATGCACCAAGCATTTAGCTGTTGAACTGGCTGTCAGGAAAAGCTATCAAGATTCAGTGCAAGAATTTAACAAAAAAGTGTTTCTGGATTAGCTCTGTGTTACTGTCCCATTGCATTAAAATGCTTCCTGCTGAATTTCATATCCACAAAGCTGTGAATACAAATAATTCCATCTATCACACAATCTTAATCTAATCAATTGCAGAACACCTTAATTGCAGTTTTCGTATGTAGAAGTTCCACTGCATCAAATACTAAGGTTCATGGCTTCTCATTCATTAGTAAGAGAGGCGCTGTAGATGAGCCTACAAAGAGTGCCAGGAGCAATGGGATTAATTTGTCATCACTGCCTCTCCATAAGGTGAGAAAGCTATAGTAGCATCTTGGTTTGAAATTTATATTGGACAAATATCTCAGTTTTGATTTGGAAAAAAAAAAACAAACAAAACAAACAAACAAACAAAAAAAACCCCACCAAGCAAAAAAAAAAAAAAACCAAAAATAATAAAAAAACAAACAAAAAAAAACCAAACAAAAAAACAAACAAAAACAACACCCCAATAAGAATATGATTGCACTGCTGACAAGCCTGTCCCCATCACAGATGGCTCTGTAAGCCAGAGAAGTGATTCTGCTGATCAGTTTTGGTTGCTTCACCTCCCATGAGTTTGGGTTAACTTTCAGTGACTGGGACTGGGACCAGACTCCCATAACCTAAATTCAATAGTCAATAGCACTATAATTAGGACCTGAAGGCTTCTTCCTTGTCTGTGGTGAGCCAGTGCTGCTAAGGGCACTGTAGCACTCATTAACCACTGGGGTTTACCAGATCTTTAAGTTCTTGTCTTGCCAAAGGTGTGAGTGACAGAGTGTAGACCATCAGTCAGCTGTGGCTGCCCCATCCCTGGCAGTGTTCAAGGGCAAGTTGGATGGTGCTCTGAACAACCTGGTCTAGTGCCAAGTGCCCCTGCCCATGGCAGAGGGTTTGGAACACAATGATCTTTAAGGTCCCTTCTACTCACACATTCTGTGATTGAACCATACTGAGTCTACAGTAAGTGCAGTATTTCAGGAAAAGACTTATTTCACACAGCGTTACTGACATGCTGCAGAAGATTTTTAGCAGCTAAGAACTAAAGGAATACTTTTACCCTTCAGACTACAGGAATTGATCGTGGACAACTGTTCTCAACCAAAGATACTAAACAAGGGCTATAAGTTCTCAAACCAATGTCTATTTACCAGCCTAACTCCTTCTACCTTGCCCAATTTCAGTCACAGGTGATTTCATCAAGCACCTTGCTACCCTTAGCTGTGCAGCCTTACAGGACAAAACACATGCCTGTCAAAAATTTCTGGCACTTGCCTTTACAGCTTCCAGAACAACAAATCCACTTGTCAGCAGAACTGCACGTTATCACCTGCTTGGTTGGTACACCCCAGCACGTAGCTGTGCCTGGCACAGACTCTTTAGTTTAAGAAGCAGTGTGACTAAAGAAGCTTAGAAATCAGTGCAGCTGATATTTTGCCTAAACAATCACTTTCTACAAGCACATTTGGGTTTAAGCACCCCTGATATCCATCAAGATAAAACTGATGGGATAAAGAGTTGGCTCTGTGAACACTGGAACTACCAATGCCTGGGCTCCTGATAATTTTCTGCCTCATGGCTGAGTTCTTGCAGTTTTCTCCCTAGCTGGGGCATAAGCCAACTCTGCTCCTCACATCATCTTACAAGGTCTCTCTCTTCCAGCCAGCTGCCTCTTTTCATGCACTTTCTAAGTACATAATCATCTTTGAGGCTTCTATCCCTTCTGTCAAATTGAGTGGAAACCTGCCAACAAGTTCAAAAGTTGTTGACTGCTTCTATCCCTGAAATTTGGCTAAAGAATAGTTCTTTACATCTTCTCAGCTCCACTTTGGAACTATTCTCAGTGTGTTGCACAAATTACTAATGGCAAACCTTTCTCATGCCCAGTGCTGGGGTTGCTTTTAAGCCACACAGCATTTTGCTTCTGCTTGCAGTTCAGGTCTCCGTGCTGAGCCTGGCAACTCCACCCAACACACTGACAACTCTGGGAAATCAATTCCTAAACTGATGTAACTTAGGAATTTAGACACAAGACAACAAAAATTGTGAAGGAAGAGTGATGAAATATATTATGAGGGAATAAAGCTATGATAGGAAACCACTAACATTCTCTGCAATGAGCCAATATTATTAGGACTGGGGTTATTTTCGCCTCCTTAACAGAATGAAATTTCAACCACTTGCCACTGAAAGAATTTGAGTGCTTTCCTCAGTTCAAAAGGTTGTCGTTTAAAATTGACAAATATTGTTAACTGAACAAAAATCTGATTTGTATTGTCGCAGTGCTGGAGGTTGCAATGATTTTTCCCTGCATTTGAAGAAAGAAACAAACAGTGAAGCTGCTTTAAAAATGCAGAAAAAGACCAAAATTGAAAGAAATAATCTCTTACACCCACCTCAATGAGGCTGAATCATAATTTTTTTGTCCCCTGCACAGATCCTGTCCCCTTCTACCTTTATTCCCCATGTTAAATATATTTGCCAACAAATCTCATGCACCATAAGATACATGTAAACGTTTTTAGTAGCCACCAGTCTTCCTCCTTGAAAGTTGTC